TTGCCAATTGGATACATAATTAGATTATCAGCAGGAGACAGAGCGATGGTGGAGGGTAGCTTTTCAGATTGGAGGCCTGTCACCAGCAGTGTTCCACAGGGATCAGTTCTGGGTCCTCTTTTGTTTGTCATTTATATACATGATTTGGACAAAAATATAGAAGGCATGGTTAGTAAGTTTGCAGACAACACCAAAATTAGTCGCATAGTAGACAGTGAAGAAGGTTTTCTAAGAATACAAAGAGATTTTGATCAATTGGGGGTCAATGGGCTGAAAAATAGCAGATGGAGTTCAATCTGGATAAACATGAGGTATTGCATTTTGTTACAACAAACAAGGGTAGGATTAATTGCATAGCCTTGGGTTGTGTTGTAGAACAGAGGGACCTAGGGTGCAGGTACGTAATTCTTTGAAGTTTCCATCACATATAGACAGGGTGATTAAAAAGGTGTTTGGCAAGCTTGCCTTCATTGCACAGTCCTTTGGGTATAGCAGTTAGGAAGTCATGTTGAGGTTGTACAGGACATTGGTAAGGCCTCTTATGGAATATTGTGTCCAGATCTGGTTGCCCAGTCATTGGAAAGACTCCACACAGACAATCCCCAAATCTGGAATCTGGGTCCTTATTGTGAGGCGGTAGAGCTAGCCACTGAGCCATTGTGCCACCTGTCCCAATTGTCTGCCTAGTGCCAGTGTTAAAGACATCTCCTTGGGCTGGAAAGGAATTTGGATTGGAAGGGGAATGCAATGGATCTAACTGTCATGATCGGTGTGGGTACCAATGACATTGATATAACTAGGAAAGAGATCCTACTGAGGGATAATGAACAGCTAGGGACTAAAACAAAGAATCACCAACAACTAGAACCACAAAGATAATAATCACTGGATAATTACCTGAGGGTAAAATAGATCAATTGAATGCGTTGCTCAGAATAATTTGGAACAAATGGGATTTGATTCATGGGTCACTGGTGTTAGTATCTGGGAAAAAGAGAGATCTGTCATGTTTGAACAGCCTCCACTTGAATTTTGCTAAGGCCAGTACCCCGGCAAATTGAAGAATAAGGCTGATGAAACAACTTTAAACTAAATAATGAGAGGAGAATTCAGTCGAGTTAAGATTTAGATAATTAATAAGAAAGGACAAAGCAAAACTACAGGGTCATGATAAGGGGATTGATAACAAAGAGTGACCGAGGAAGGAACAGGTTGTACAGCATGAGTGAACCAGAAAATAGGGACTGTAAGGAAAAATGGTGGAAAAACAGAGACACAGAGATGGATGGCGAGTAGATGTAGAGAAGTGATTACACAGCAGGATCAGTCAGATAGATGGATGACTGTCAGGAAAGGTAAGAAGAAAGGTAAGAAGGTAGTTCAGAAGTCTCCTGTAGTTATTCCTCTCTCAAACAGTTGTTTCAAAACAAAAACAGAAGTTGTTGGAAAAGCTCAGCAGGTCTGGCAGCATCTGTGAAGAGAAATCAGAGATAATGTTTCGGGTCTGGTGACCCTTCCTCAGGACTCATTTCTGAATACTGTTGAAAAGGATAGTGGATAGATAAGCCCCCTGGGCCAGACGGGATATACCCAAGGTTGCTACGGGAAGCAAGAGAAGAGATTGCTGCGCCTATGGTGATGATCTTTGCGTCTTCACTGTCCACTGGAGTAGTACCAGATGACTGGAGGGTGGCAAATGTTATTCCCTTGTTCAAGAAAGGGAATAGGGATAATCCTAGGAATTACAGACCAGTCAGTCTTACTTCTGAGGTGGGCCAATTATTGGAGACGACTCTGAGAGATAGTATTTATGATTATTTGGAAAAGCACAGTTTGATTAGAAATAGACAGCATGGCTTTGTGAGGGGCAGGTCATGCCTCACAAACCTTACTGAATTCTTTGAGGATATGACAAAGCACATTGATAAAGGTAGAGCAGTGGATGTGGTATACATGGATTTTAACAAGGCGTTTGGTAAGCCCCCAGGCCAGACGGGATATACCCAAGGTTGCTACGGGAAGGGAGAGAAGAGATTGCTGCGCCTTTGGTGATGATCTTTGTGTTCTCACTGTCCACTGGAGTAGTACTATCCCCCATACTAGGCTCATTCAGAAAGTAAGGAGGCATGGGATTCAGGGAAATTTGGCTGTCTGGATACAGAATTGGCTGTCCAATAGAAGACAGAGGGTGGTAGTAGATGGAAAGTATTCAGCCTGGAGCTCGGTGACCAGTGGTGTTCTGCAGAGATCTGTTCTGGGACCTCTGCTCTTTGTGATCTTTATAAATGACTTGGATGAGAAAATGAAAGGGTGGGTTAGTAAGTTTGCCGATGACACGAAGATTGGTGGAGTTGTGGATAGCGTGGAGGGCTGTTGTAGGTTACAACGGGATATTGAAAGGATGCAGAGCTAGGCAAAAAAGTGGCAGATGGAATTCAACCTGGAAAAGTGTGAAGTGATTCATTTTGGAAGGTCAAATTTGAATGCAGAATACAGGGTTAATGGCAGGATTCTTGGCAGTGTGGAGGAACAGAGGGATCCTGGGGTCAACGTCCATAGATCCCTCAAAGTTGCGACCCAAGTTGATAGGGTCGTTAAGGTGTATGGCGTGTTGGTTTTCATTGGTAGGGCATTTGGGTTTAAGAGCCACGAGGTTATGCTGCAGCTCTATAAAACCCTGGTTAGACCACACATGGAATATTGCATTCAGTTCTGGTCACCTCATTATAGAAAGGATGTGGAAGCTTTAGAGAGGGTGCAGAGGAGATTTACCAGGATGCTGCCTGGACTGGAGGGCAGGTCTTATGAGGAAAGGTTGGAGGGAGCTAGGGCTTTTCTCATTGGAGCGAAGGAGGATGAGAGGTGACTTGATAGAGGTGTACAAGATGATGAGAGGCATAGATAGAGTGGATAGTTAGAGATTTTTTCCCAGGGTGAAAATAATTATTACGTAGGGGCATAATTTTAAGATGGTTCTGTAACTGTAACTTGAGAAGGCTTGCCCTCTCTTTTCCCATTTTCTCTCAGTCTCTCTTGAGGACACAACTTCGTGATAAAGCAAATTAGAGAAAAATCCATTCAAAGATCTCGTCAATATTTACTTGGAGGAAGGTATAGGGGAGATGTCAGAGGTAGGTTCTTTATACAGAGTGGTGGGTGAGTGGAATGCGCTGCCGGTAGTGTAGTGGAGTCAGATACATTAGGGACATTTAAGTGACTCTTGGATAGGCACATGGATGATAGTAAAATGCAGGGTATGCAGGTTAGTTTGATCTTAGAGTAGGATAATAGGTCGGCACAACATCGTGGACCGAAGGGCCTCTACTGTGCTGTACTGTTCTATGGTCTATGTATTGTGAGACCACACCATTTTACTTAAGGAGGAATATACTTGCACTGAAACACAGTTCAGAGAAGGTTCAGTAGGTTCGTTCTAAGAATGAACACTTTGCAAAATGAGAAAAGGTTGAGACGTCAGGCCTGTCTTTACTGAAGTTTAGAAGAATGACTGGTGACCTTATGGAAACATAGAAGATTCTGAAGAGGCTTAAAAATGTTTCCTCTTGTTAGAAATAGTTCAGACAGAGATGAAGAGGAATTTCTTTTCTCAGAAGGTTGTTAATCTCTGGAATTATCTATCCTAAAGACACAGAAGCTGGGTCACTGAAATACATTCAAGGCTAAATTAGATTGATTTTGATCTATAATATAGACTGCATGCTGGAAAGTGGAATTAATCCCATAATCAGATCAGCCATGATCTTATTAAATGACAGAGAAGGCTTGAGGGACAAAACTGTTTAAGCCTGCTCCTGTTGCTAACATAATGTTGTCACTATAGTAGTAAAAAATGGACTAATAATTATCAGCTTCAATCGTCTGATTTTAATATCAGGAAATTTCAAAGACTAAAATGGTTTTTAAAAATGTGAGATACAATAACTATAACAGCCAGCTGGCCAAAGATTAGCCCATCTTGATGAAATCAATGTGAGACAAGCAAAGACAGTTTGAGCCAAAATTAACAATTTTAAAAAGCAATAAAGCTCAGATCTGCATCCCTTGTTTGAATTACATTTTTAAAGTGTATGGATGAGTTTCACTTGTTGGAGATAACAGTCATCTGCAAATTATTCAGCCCTGACATATACTGCATGAATGAGCTATATTTCAAGCAGCTGTTCTGGCACAGCAGCAGAGAGAAAGATGGTTCTGTAACTGTAACTTGAGAAGGCTTGCCCTCTCTTTTCCCATTTTCTCTCAGTCTCTCTTGAGGGCACAACTTAGTGATAAAGCAAATTACAGAAAAATCCATTCATGGAGAACTTAAAGATCTCTTCAATATTTACTTCTTCTGAAGATGTAAGATATTAATTAAACTAACGTGGTCTCAGGTTAAAACCTAACAACTCAGGAACACTCTTCGGCCATTTAAACTGAATTTTTTCTACCTTCCCTTTGTACTAGATACTCTTATCTTTATAAATTTTACATCTCTATGCATTTGTTATTGCATCTTAAACATTTTTTTCCTCAGGGTTAACAAGTAATAAAATTGTTCACTAAAATAAAACAAAGATGCTGGCGATCTGAAGTAAAAACAGAAATTGCTGGTGAAGCTCAGCATCTGTGGGAATAAAGCAGAGTTAATGTTTCGTGTCTGGTGAGTCTTCATCAAAACTCTAGGGTTCTCTGAGAAAAGGGTCACTGCACCCGAAACAATGACTCTGCTTTCTCTCCACAGATGCTGCCAAACCTGCTGAGTTTCTCCAGAAATTTCTATTTTTCTTTCAGATTTCCAGCATCCACAGTTTGTTTTTTATTTTAAAAAGAGGGAGTTGGTTTTTCCCTTTCACCTAGTCATAACAATGTTAGAGGTTGCCCGAAATACACAAGCAACAGTACAGATATTTTACATTATAAAACATTCATTGAAATAACTCGACTTATATCGTTTCTCCATTTGAAGAAAGCTACCATAGAAATATGAAAATACTCACAGTTGTGACATCACCGACTTTCTGTCCTTTCGATGAATTTGGCTCTGCTAAGATATCAAAATCAAGGTCCTGCTCGCCAGAAAGATGCGTGTTTGCATTACTGTAATAAAATTCCAATTGAAATTTTATGATGTGAAAAGAAACACTTTTCAATTACTAACTAAATATTTTATTTCAAGAAAACATATCTTCAAATTAAATTACAGCAAAGTTTTCACCATCCTATTTTAACCTAACCGTTTTACTAAGAAAAATTGCAGATACCTTATACCTTTACCACATAGTTACAGCTAAATTGTGCTTGACAGAAGTAATTGAAGTCACAGACTAGCAAGAAACTAGTTGTGCGTAGCAAGGGGTAATGGTTTGGAGATCATGCAAGTGGAGGAGAGGTAAAATCAGAAATAACAATTTATGCAAAGCCAAGAAAGAAAGAGGAACCATTACTGGATTTGCACTGGCTACTTCAGGAAAGGCTTAATTGGGATGGTGGATGGGAAAATGTGTCTAATTCTGACCATTCATCTATATAAAGACTGTGGCAGCAAGAGTAGGTCAGAGGCTAGGAACCTTTTAGCCAGTAACTCACCTCCTGACTCTGCAAAGTTGTCCACCATCTACAAATCACAAGTTAGGAGTTTAGTGGAATATACCCCACTTTTTCGGATGAGTGCAGCTCTGGTGACAGCCAAGATGCTTGACACAATCCAGGTTAAAACAGCTCACTTGATTGGCACCATAAGCACAAGCACTCATTTCCTCTAACAATGACACTCAGTAGCATCAAAGTTTATATAGCACCTTTCAAACCTTCAATCGCTACCATTTAGAACAACAAAGGCAGTAGATATATAGGAACACTACCACCCACAAGTTCGTGTACAAGTCACTCACTATCCTAACTTGGAAATATATTGCTGTTTGTTCACTTCTGGTGTGTTATTATCCTGGAACGTTCTCCTGAATATAACTGTAGATATAACGACACTACAATGGACTGCAGCAGTTCAAAAAAGCAGCTCACCAGCTTCTCAAAGGCAGCTAGGGATGGGCAACAGATGTTGGCCCAACCAGCAAAACCTACAACTCCTGAATAAATAAAACGAAAAAAAAGTTTTAAAAAAAAAACTATGAAGGACTTGAAGATTTTGGAGAGGAACAGGACAGATTTTGGAGTGCTGCGCACAGTTCTGATCATTCTGCTATAGAAAAGGTTCAGAAAAGGTTTACCTGGACGTTGCTGTGACTGGAGGGTTTAAGTTATACGAATAGGCTCGAACATTTTTTCATTGAAGCACGGGAGGTGGTGGGTTGACCTTTTGGAAGTTTATTAAATCAAGGGGCATAGATACAATGAATAGCAAAGGTCTTTTCACTATGGTGGGTAAGTTCAAAACTAGGAGGCATATTTTTAAGGTGAGAAGAGAAAGATTTAAAAGGGACTTGAGGAGCAACTTTTACGTAGGCGGTGGTTTGTGTGCTGAATGACTCTATATTAAGGATTACAGGTATGTCGATAGACTGGAGAAATTGGGGCTATTCAGGTCAAGGAGAAATCAAATAGAGGTGTTTGAGATCTTAGATACAACACAGGACTACTTGCATCCAAGCAGTGAAGGCAGCATGTGGTGAAAAGAGGTAGGCCATTCCACAAACATTAGATTGGCCCTCGGCTCTGCAGTGCCACCACAGTTGCGAATGATGCTGTAGACAATTATACAACTCAACATCAGAAATCATATGTAAAATAACAATGCTGAATCATTTGAAACCATCTTCAACCAGAGGTGCTGAGTGAATGATCCCTCTTGGCTTCCTTCTCAGTTTCTCAACACTACGATGCCAACCTTTAGCCAATTCAATTCACTCCACGTGATTCTAAGAAATGGCTGAAGACAGAACATACTCCTATGATTACGGGACCTTACACTATTTTGAGAATTGTACTTAAGACTTATGCTCCAGAGCTGACGACAACATTAGCCAAGCTGTTCAAGCACAGCCACAACACTGTCATCTAGCTGTCAACGTGGAAATTGCCAAACTGCCACAAAAAAAACAGAACAAATTCCATTCAGCCAATTACCACCTCAAGTGTCTACTCTCAATCATTAGCAGAGTGAAGGAAGGTGCTATCAATTGGTATTTGCAAAGGAATAATCAGCTCATTGATGTTTGGTTTGGTTCTGCTATGTCCATTCAACTCCTGACCTCATTATAGCCTAAGTCATGCATTATCTGAGTGTAGCATCAAGGAGCCCTCGCAAAACTTATGTCAATTAGAATCAGGTGCAAAATGCTCCATCGGTTGGAGGCACATTTAGTACAAGCCAAGATGGCTGTGGTTGTTGGAGATCAATTACCTCGGTTCCAGAACATCACTGCAGGAATTCCTCAATGTAGTGTCAATTACAAGGTAAATCCTCACCACTGCTCATCATATTGTATGAGCTATTTGGTAGATTGCTGCCACCATCCTGTTTCTTGCTAGGGATCTACAGGATCAAACTAAACCTGCTTGGTTTGGTGAGGTGGATGAAAACCACTTGGTTAACTCATGAGAAGATACTTTTTTTTCTTAAAAAAAGATGTAGTTTATTGCACAATAGCAACTATACACAAGTTTCACTGATGAGAAAATACTGTTACAGTGACTACAAAGAAGAACCAGGTGATAGGTCTTACTTGCTTGAGACCTTAAGGTATTCTTTCACCAAATCTATGTGACATCATCATTTTGGGTGGTACTTAAGACATTAATCCTTTCAGACCCTGACATCCTTAAATAACATCTCCCCAAAGCTTTTTTCTTCCCCATTTCATTTTAAAACTACCCCAAAATCCAGCCCCTCTTTCCTGTACCACACTCCCATGACTTCGGCTTCATAAATTCAAGCTGTCTGAAAATTTCAGTATTCTCCCAGAATGTGCACTCTTCAGAATTGGTGAATTGGTAGATCTCTGGGTCAAAGACAGTTGACAGTGTGAGATTTGAGTGTCCCTTTATATTGGAGGATCTTCTTTGTTTGGATTTCATGCACGAAGGATGGCTGCGTATTGAAACAAGCACTTTTTTGTCATGTCCTGGAACACTGAAATACGTAATTTCACCTTGGTACTATTCTGGACCTCTAAGCCAGGCAATTTCTTCTTGATGGTGTCTTGAATCTTTGGACCATGGTCATCCTTTCTCAATGGTGGCTTCCACAGACTTGCACCACATCTTCAGTCTGTGTGAGCAGCATTTTAATGAAATCTGTAAATCTGTGCTCAAGTGTGTAGAGTCTTGAACACTTTATTTAATCCTTGATGATTGGAGTATTGGTGAAATCAAAATGTTCAATTACTCATCATACTATTTCAGGGTCGCATCTTGCTTGGCATGACCTTCATTGACAATTTTTTCTGGGAAGTAAATAAATATCTGTAAAATAATAAATTGCTTTCAAAACAAGTTAAAATGTTCTGCTTCAAACTGTGGCTTCTCAGCATCTGGCATCATTCTTAAATTTGTTATCACTGTTTGTTCATAAAGCTGTTTGCACTCAGAGTCGCATCAGTTAAGGATTCCTCGATTAGCTCAAATAGAGTGTGTTGCTCATTGGTTATCTGCTTGCTAGTGATTTCTCAGTAACCTTGACCTCTCCTCAGTGCTGATAAAAATGGAAAATGTTTCTGACAACCCAAAAAGTTACAGGTTACCATCTTGCTGACAGTATTAAAACCAATTACTTATGCCCACATAGCTCATCTCAAAAATTCTGTCCTCTGTTTGGGTTCTGCCATGAGTCTTTGGAGCCAGATGAAATCTTCTCCTGACAGTCCTCTGACTGTTGGTTCCACAACTCGCTGTACAATATCCAAGTATTCTTTAACATGATGTCACTTGACCAGTGGTTGCTTGACTTTTAATTAATTTGACTCCTTCCATCATTTTAAGATGTTCAGGTCAAAATATGCATTCTTGCTCAAGACTGAGAATTCTCAACATTGAAATACAAAGCTCTCTACAGTCTGACACACCTTATCTTGCACTATTGCTAATACCACATCATTAATCTACCTAAGGTGCCTGTGGCACAGTGTTAATGTCCCTACCCTTTGCTTACAAGATCCAAGTTCAAGTCCCACCTGCTCAGGAGATGTGTCCTTTAATCTAAAGTGCTATGCCTTCTGGAGCATTCATTTACACCGTTTTAGGTTGCAAACAGAGTTTCTTCACTCTACAGAATTGATTGATTGATTGATATTATTGTCACGTGTACCGAAATACAGTGAAAAGCTTTGTATTCATAGTGCTCTAACTGATAACATAATGACTTGTCCCTGTATTGAACTTGAAATTTGAGAGATGTTAATTGATATAAACATCTTTTTCCAAAATGCTTAGTCCTCTAGGGATACCCTTGGCTTTTTTTTCTACTGTGGCCTGTCCTACCTCAAACATATTTGCGAGTTGCTATTTGAGTTTTTGCTGTTCTGTGACTGTGACAATTACTGTTAGTTTCTGCTGTCTGTCCTTTCTCATGTGTGTCTTTAGAGGTGTTGTACCTTGAAAACTGAATAGTTTCTATCAATCTCAGTGATAATTTGATTTTCTCCTCTTTAGAATTAACTTGTGCCTCTTCCGGGTTTCTGCTTCACTCACCTTTTTCTACAACGGAACCTTGATCAGATTGACCATTTGGCCGAGGAGTGGTAAACAGAGTTTAATTTAGATAAATGTGAGCTGTTGCATTTTGGTAAGGCTGATCAGGGCAGGAATTATACACTTAAAGGTAAGGTCTTTGCTGAAAGAAGGGACCTTGGGGTACAGGTTCACAGTTCCTTGAAAGCAGAGTCACAGGTAGACAGGGTAGTGAAGAAGACATTTGGTACGCTTGCCTTTATTGGTTAGTGCATTGAGTATAGGAGCTGGGAAGTCATGTTGTGCCTGTACAGAACATTAGTTAGGCCACTTTTGGAAATCTGCATTCAACTCTGGTCTCCCTACTATAGGAAATATATTGTGAAACTTGTAAGGGTTCAGAAAAGATTTACAAGGATGTTGCCAGGGTTACAGGTTTGGGCTATACAGAGATGCCAAACAGACTGGGCTAG